ATCAAACCCTTCATTTCCCTGTTACAGAGAAATAAACTTCATTATCTGTGGTTTAGCCAGTTCTCCTTACCATCTGACATTGTGAGCTCATTAGATTGCTGCTGAGCAACTCCTGAGGCAATGGAGTCAGGCCAGAACCTCTGAACCGGTCGGTTCTGAGCTGTTTTCTTCTTTGTTTTTGGAGTTTCGGAACAACTGGAATCCAGCATTGGCTGAAGAATTCGCCTTCTAGCATTGATAAACCTAAACACAATCAAAGGCAAGAAGTACTTACAACCAGCTGGCTGTAAATTCTCTCTCTCTCTCAGATTCACTAATTGTGCAGCAGAAAAAATTAGGAATATAAATTCTTCTGCCTACCAGCTTGGCTTGACATTCTTTTTAATGTGTAAAACTGCTCCTAGAACACTGGTATCCTTTGATTTTGGCAAACTAGCTAAGAAAGTACTTCTATCATTTTACTGCTAGCAGCACTTTTTCCTCCACCTCAGAGGGGAAAATTCCCCAGACAGAATGACGGATGTACATTTCAAGATCTTATTAAAAACTAAGCACCACAAAACTTGCTGACAGCACAGCTCAGAAAGCAGATACTCTTCTCATCAGGCTTCACCTAAAATCTAACCCCTGTCTAACCTAGCTTCTTTGGTCTGGTTTCGTTTATTTCCTTAAGCTCCCACACTGCCTATTTGATAGGCTCCCTGGGTTTCTAAGGTCTGGGTCCTGATTCAGGAGACAACAGCAAACACATTCTTCAGATCTTTCCCAATTCTTTTTCATTCCCTGATTTTCACTTGTTTACTTCAGCATGCTAATTGGCATCCTTCCCCTTTCTGCTAGTGAAGAAAATACTTAAACCATGTCTCACTTAGCCACCAGCAGTCAACTGAATCAATTTCAACACTGGTAGCTGTGACAAGGAGCTGTGACTGAGGATAGCATTCCTTGCTAAATCCGACAAACGCATCCAGGACCCATCTTTACCTGCAATGGAACGAAGTAGGGCGCAGCTGGTAGGTCCACATGGTGTAATGCAATGCTTTGCAGAGACATTAGTGGGATCGCAGTATCATAGAGCTCCGTTACTACAGTGTCATGCAAGCACACTTATGTGGTTCTACTTTTGGAACCAGTACTGCCACTATCTTGAGTCTTTCCCCACGGGACCCCTTTGCAACCATGCAGCCAGCGTCACTTTTGAAATCTGAGGAAGATCCCTGTTGGACTTAGGTGCAATAATTTTAGAACCAACACCACAAGCAAAACAGGATGCATGTTGGCACCCTCACTGCTCTCTTCTGCAGGGGCAGGTGTACTGTCTTAAACCTGTAGTGAAGGTAAGACATGCTAAAACATGTCGAACCACGAACTAGAGTAGTTGAGGTGCTGACACTCTCCATCCAGGCATCACTGTTCAGAGTCTAGCGCCCATTGATACAAGAGCAAAATGAGTATCTGTTGACAGTAACTTCTTCAACATTTGCAACCATGACTACCAGAGAACACTTTTCAGAATTTCAGGTCACTAAAGGCCTTTAAACTTCAATTTCTTTACTCGCAGAAGAGACATGAGAGTACTTCCATCTCTTTCAGCAATAGAACAGAAAGTAATTCCTTACTGTTGCAAAGTTTCCTGAAGTCCTTATATAATTTAATTTAAATAGCACAAGAATTATTATTCCTTACTATAAAAATAATATGCTTGTGTATCAGTGCATAATTCTTGTATTTTATACGTATTTTCTAATATATGTGGAAGGGTAAGTTCAACTCCAGATGTCCAAGTCATACTCTTAACACTACGTTGTAAGCATATGGAGACAACAATAAACACTAAGTAAGAGTTAATACTAATCTTACCAATTGTTAACCTGGAGTAGTGTCAGATTTGTTTGTGCTGCAATCTGTTTCTTCTCATCCTCTGTTGGATACGGATGCTAAACAGGACAAAAAAGCAAATAAAAAAGGCATAAGCTTGTTGCATCATCTCATCAAAAATAAGGACTCCTTTATTACAACTGATTAAAGCCACTAGAGTAAGACCATCTGACTCATTAAAAAATAAACTTTAGAAACCTCACAAACTTTTATAGATAAAAATAATTTAACAATGAGTGCTTTACTATACAAAACTGATTTTATCCTTTAAAGTGTATATGATATCATTAAACTGCTGATGTGTAATTCAGAAGAAAAAGCTTCTCATAGCTGACAGTCTTTATTAAACTGTGATCTCTAGGCAACACAGCATGTGATAAGATCTAATTAGTTATGCTGTCTAAAGGCAATGTCATATGAGGGCACTGACAAGCATTTTCTAGTTAAATAAAGCTACTCTGAACTAAATGGATGAAGAGAGTGTACGTAACATAAGAAGAGTACGTGCAGCTTCCCTTTATCTTTTGTCAGTTGTAAAACAGTTGTAAAAGACCAAATACCAGTCACCTAAAGATTGTGATGTAACTTGAGACTCATTTATCTTTTCAGGATATGTATTTATGCAAAGACAAGACATTCTATTGAAAGCACAAGTGGGCTGTAACACACTTGGTACACATTAGAAGGATTGTTGGAAGAGATTGTTGGAGAAAAAGCCAGGAAATTTGAAATTCTGCTCTACAAAAATACCCCACGAAACACAGAATTATTTTTCCTTGTGCCATGAACTAGGGTGTAGAGAGCATTAAGTTCTCAGCGCAGTGCAATGAAGAAAGATCCCTTTTAACAATGGTTACTGAGGTCATGACGTACAAGTGTAACATACTTATTAAAATGATAATAAAATCAACCGTCATTAGGCTGTGGAACTACTCCAAATTACTTCAGGGAAAACTGAGCTGGAGATTACACAAATGATAGCAGAATAAATCCACATTCTTTATGAAGCAAAATTATAAGAGACCACACAAAACAGTTACATAAAAACCTGTGAATCCTGATCATGTTCAGTTCTTACCCCTATGTGCTGAAAAAGCCAAGATCTCATCACATTTGTAGCGTGCTTGGGAAGAACTCCTCTTTTATTTTTTGATGAGCCATCATCTTGATGCAAGATGCCTAGATCTTGGTTTAATTGCAACTGAAGCTGCGCATACAATTTTAGAAGAAATAAGGCAGTTAACATAGTAACAGCAACATTCTATATCAATCTATGAACTTATAGAAGGAATGAAAGAAAAAATAAGGCTTGAGGCATGCTGATTATAAAAAGCTACTTTATTTGCTAGGGAAGACTTACAGTAGCAGCTCTCCTGCAATAGCATTCCAAAATGTCTTTACCCAGGGAAAATGCTGTATGAGGTTTCTATAGATTTCACATTTCAGGTAACTTGTTTCAAGAACTACAGCTGTTATCAGGCTGTGTATATGATCACCTGGCAATAGCCAAAGGCTGATTTACTATAGTTTAGAATAAAGTCCACCTATGTAGTACATGTCACTAATGAGTGAACCTCTGTACTGATCTACACTACCCTAGGCTCTGATTTCCTTTACACTCTATGTAGACATTTGCACATGTGAAGAACAACTGAAATAGACAATGCTGAATATACTCACTATGTGCAAATATACAACTACGGAAGCTGTTAAATGGTACTGATTTAAGACTTAAATGAAGGTCTTGAAGTAAAATTGATTTTTATGCTAGAGTTGCAAAGATGCTAAAAGTCCTGCTAAATAAATGCATCTAAATTCTCAAAGAGCAAGAAGATATATATGGTAGAATGCTTAATTCACTGTACAACACTCTTACTGTTTTCCTAAAGGTTCATATTTTGTTCTTTCGCTTTTTCACTTCCTATGCATTCATCAAATCATTTCCACAACGGTTATCTGAACATTAGGGAATACATTCTTAAATGCTTACAGGGAGACAAGAAGCAGCAGCGTACAAATTGCAAATGAGATTATATTTCAGACAATTATAATTGAAATAATTCTAAATCAGGTTTTCCAGACAATACAAAGCAATTTTTTCAAGCCAGTCATTATGTCTATGTCCTGTATGAAACAAATTTTAAATGAGGTTTAAGCTATCAAATTACAACAAATATATATTTAGAGCATATTTTTATTTCCAAAATAATGTTTTCTATTCTAAATAATCTGCTTGTATATGGAGGCTTTATAAAAGCACTTTCAATAGCTCTTCCCTAGTATTTTTCCTTTACCTCCACAGCACTTCAAAATACACGAAGTATTTCCTATGGGTGACAAAAGAATATAGGTCCAAATTGATGTATGAGTGGGTTTGGAGAGTGGAGATTCCTACCAACATCAAGAGTAGCCTCAGAGATATAGATAGATAGATAATCTGATTCTGCCCCTCTACTCTGCTGAGACCCCATCTGGAGTACTGCATCCAGTTCTGGGGTCCCCAATATAAGAAGGACATGGAGCTGTTGGAGCATATCCAGAGGAGGGCCACGAAGATGATCAGGGGCTGGAGCACCTCCCCTATGAGGACTGGCTAAGAGAGTTGGGCCTGTTCAGCCTGGAGAAGAGAAGGCTCTGGTGGCCCTTACTGTGATCTTCCAGTTTCTGAAGGCATCCTATAGGAAAGCTGGGGAGG